ATATTTGAGACCAGAATGATTGTATGTGTGGGCACTTCCATCGGCGATCGAAAACGTCCGCTTACTGTCCACAGTTTCCAATTGGTCTCCAGACAACTAAGGTCAGTTCCCCTGGAGAAAATGGCTGCTTTAGAGGGTGGACTCTGTGGCGTTATACCCTGCTGAGGCCCCTCCCCTCCTCAAACCCCGCCCTCCCCAGGCCTCACCCCCTAAATCCCCAGGTATTTCCCTCAGGAGGCATCTGGATCGAGGCGGATCAGGCGCCCTCCCCCAGGGGCCGCCCTAGGCAAAAGTCTAATTTGCCTAGTGGGTGGGCCGGCCCTGTGTATAGTATAGCCAGGGAGATCTGAAGCTTGTCTGGCAGCCAGAAGTTCTAGCTCTTTTTTGTATTATGTACCACTAGGTGGTGAGCTAGTTCTTTGGGTTGAGAGAGCTCTGAGAACTGTGACTGGCCCAAAGTCGCCCAGCTGGCTTCACGTGGAGGAGTGTGGGATTGAACCCCGTTCTCCAGATTAGAGTCTTGCCTCACAGGGTGTCTGTTGTGGGGAGGGGAAGGGAAAGGAGTTTGTAAGCCGCTCTGAGACTCCCTTAGGTAGTGAAGGGTGGGGTATAAACCCAATCTCTTCTTCTTCTTCTTCTTCTTCTTAACCACTACACCACACTGGCCCGCTCTCAATGATATAGAGAGCACCATGCATGTTCGTCACCCGTCTCTGATTTAACGGACGCAATGATAACCCTCGATCTAGGATCTTGTATTTAAATTTGTGCACCAATGTGGTTTCTTTCATTCCTCCATAAAGGGAATATCATCAAGAAACTGCCCAGGAAGACCGCCGTCAGCGTGAAAGACACGGCCATATTCTGCGTGGAATTGGAAAACAAGTGCCAGAAATTCCGATGGCTGAAGGACAAGGAAGAGCTGAAGGCCAACAGTCGAATCACCATCACGTCATCCGGCAAGGAGCACAGCATGACCATCCGGGACTGTAAAATGGAGGACGCGGGGGAGATTGTTTTCGTGGCCGATGAATGCAGAACATCAACCCAGTTCACTGTATCGGGTGAGTAGCTCTGTCTTCCTCTGATCATGTGAAGCTCTCACAGTGTATGATGTTAGGCAGGGGTCATTTCCTGCGGGAGCGCACAGGAGCGGAGCTCCGGCGGTAAGGAGCCCAGGGGGCGGGCACATGCAACAAGCCCCACCCCCTGCTCCCAGCAGCCCTCAGTCGGGCCACAAGGAGCAAGAAGCAGCGAGGTAAGTTGCAGAGCCCCCCCTCGCCTTCAGGTACAAGCTCTCCCTCCTCTGTGAGGGCAGATCTGCACGTCCCCCCCCCCCATAGCTAGCACTCCAAAACAGTCCAGTGGCACCTTTAAGACTAAGTTTTATTCAGGTACAAGCTCTCCCTCCTCTGCGAGGACAGATTTGCACGTCTTCGGACAGCGCTGGCTCTTCGGCTTTGAAACGGAGATGAGCACCGCAACCCTAGAGTCGGATTCGACTGGCTTTTGAGCAAGGGGAACCTTTACCTACCTTTACTTTACCCCCCCCCCCCAATAGCTAGCAATCCAAAACAGTCCCGTGGGGCCTGAACGGTGGGTGTTGCCTTTGGACACACTTCCAGTGATGTCAGGGGGTGTGGCATATGCAAATGAGTTCTGCTAATGCGTTATGCTAATGAGCTCCTGCACCTCTTTTTCTACAAAATGGCCCCCGATTAGGCAGTTTAACCAATCAGCTGGATGGTTATAATTACATCACTTGGCAGCATGATTGCGCTTTGGAAGATGGAATTATCATCATCGTTTATATTTTTAACTTCCTTATTTAACGGGATGCTGTTTAACACAAACGTATTATTTAAAAATGTGTTCTTGATTAGACATGGCAGCCGTAACAGTGAAGATCCTTGTGCTGTGGGTTTGGTACTTATCTTCAACGTACTTAACCTTCAAGGCCTTAAGCGGCCAGGGACCAACATACTTACAGGACTGCCTCTCCCCATATGTGCCCTGTCGAGCCTTGCGCTCCTTAGATCAACCTTTACTGGTGATCCCCAGCCCAAAAGACGTCTGTCTGGTCTCGGCCAGGGCCAGGGCCTTTTTGGTCCTGGCCCCAACCTGGTGGAATGAGCTCCCGCTAGAGATCAGGGCCCTGCGGGACCTTTTACAGTTCTGCAGGGCCTGAAAGACAGAACTCTTCCGCCAGGCTTTTGGGTGAGCTGCTAAAAAATCATACTGACAGGATCTGAAAAGGTCCGTATGATTTTTTTTACTGTCCAAATTAGCAAACCGTTTAAATTGTGAATCCTTTGTGAATACGTAATACGTAGTCTATATTAACGTGGGTTTGGTTTTCTTAATATCAACAGCTAGTTCTGAGTGGCACTCTGTACATGCTCTGTGAAATTGTCCCGTGTTTTATCAGTTTTTTTTTTTAAAAAAATCACGTTTCAGATACATCCTATTTTCAGTGGTTTCATTAGATCCCCCCCCCCTGCACGCGAAACCTGTAGGGGTTGTATAATTATGAAAGATTCCCTTTCCCTCTGGACCAGTCTGTTTCTTCATCTTCATTTGGCCTCGGTGCGGCCCCCTTTTCCCTTTGCAGATAACAGTGACCAAAACGTCATTCATCTCGTCACACTCAGTTTGCAGCTGAGAATCCGGTTAAGAGGGCAACAGTGTGTGTGTGTCGGTGGACTGGCGGCGGTTGTGTTTAAATGTTAGCGATACGCCAAGGCTGAGGCCCCCGGCTTGGATTTCACTATTTAGCTAGTCTTCTGAACCTGAGCTGGACGTTAAACCGGCAGGCACTCTGAAGATTCTCCCTTCCTATTAAAACCTCAAGTTGGGGGGGGGAGGACAGGGTATCTTGTGACACCAATATATTTATGTGGGTCGCTAAGGAAGCACAGTGTCATCAGCCAAGGGGCCCCTATTTTTATTCTTTGTTTAATGGCTGCAGATGGAAGGAAAATTTACTTTTAGCATCATAGAATGATGGAGCTGGTCATCGAGTCCAAACACCCTCCCCCCCCCCCACAGCGACCCCCCCCCCCGGCACAATGCAGGAAATTCACAAATGCCTCCCCCCCCTACACCCCCAGTGACTCCTGCTCCATGCCCAGAAGAGGGCGAAAAAACCCTCCAGGATCCCCAGCCAAACTGGCCTGGAGAAAAATGTCTTCCTGACCCCAAAGTGGCGATCGGCATTTCTCTGGGCGTGTCAGGAAGGGCTTGGCTTTCAGTCCTCTTGTTTCTTTATGGTGTGAATAGGCCCGGATCGTGAGAAGGAAAGTGATGTGGAGAGCCAGTTTGGTGCAGTGGTTAAGTGCGCGGACTCTAATCTGGGAGAACCGGGGTTGATTCCCCACTCCTCCACTTGCACCTGCTGGATGACCTTGGGCAAGCCGTAGTTCTGATAAGAGCTGTCCTTGAAAAAGAGTAGTTTCTGTCAGAGTTGTCTCAGCCCCACCTACCTCACAGGGTGTCTGTTGTGGGGAGGGGAAGGGAAAGGAGATCGTAAGACACTCTGAGACACCTTTGGGTAGTGAAGGGCAGAGTTTAAATCCAATCTTCTTCTTCTTCTTCTTGTATGAAGGACTGTGTCGAAACTGTTCTCCTCCGGTGCCTGCTGTATCCGGCGTCCCATCGGGATCTTTGATAACCCGTATTAGCCCAGCTTTTGGAGACCTCTGATAATCTTACGGTCCTTTTCTTGCTTGATAATCCAGATACAGAAATAACTGAAATAGTAGCAAAGTTTCTTTGCAGTGCCATGATCTCACGGCCTGATAAGTGATACTAAGTGGATTAACGGAGTCATTCCAAAGGGCTGGTGCTGCGCCCTCTCTTTAATCTTCCTTATGCCTTTACTTTTCCCTTGTGATATATTTAACTCCCGCCCCCTAAAACAGGCTTTTGAGTAACTAGGTTTTTCTAATCCCCAAATTTGCCCTCTCTGCCCCCCCCCCCGCCCTTTTCTGCTTATCGCGGCTTCCTGTCCTTATGACTGGCTCACTTCATTTATACCCCATTTCTCTCCCCAAACGGGGACCCGGAGGGGTTTGCAATATTCGTCCATTTTTTAATCCTCACAACGACCCTGTGAGGTGGGTTATTTTAAGGGAGTATGTGACCAGCCCAAGGTCACACAGCGTGCTTCCATGCCAGAATGGGGATACAGCTGGCACCACAGAACTGGGCCATAGTTTTCCTTGGCAGAGGCTGCCCCGGGGAGGTGGGGGGGAGTGAAGACGGGAGGGTGGATGAAGGTAGGTTGGTGAATGGCTGCTTAGAAAGAGAGAATGAGGCAGGAAAAGGGGAGCAGTAATAAGTAATAAGGTGCCCCCCCCTACAAGTCCTCGCGGGTTCCCACTTGTATATATGTATGTATTCCAAACTTATTTATTTATTTATTGAATTTATACCTCGCCCTACCCCCAAAATGGGCTCAGGGTAGCTTTCTCTGATGCATTAACTCAATCGAACTTCACAAGATGCTCCCCCCCCCCCG